GGGGGGGGAGCTTCCGAAGCCCCCCCCCCTTTCCACAAAGAGGGGGGGGGATAGCTTCCGAAGCCCCCCCTCCCTTTCAAAAGGGGGGGGGGGGGGGTGGCTCACCCGGCTCAATTAAAGTGAGGGAGGGTGGGGGGTAACTAGCTTGGAAGCCCCCCCCTTTCCGGCCACGAAAAGGGGGGGAGGGGGGGGGGCTTCCGAAGCCCCCCTTTTAGCAAGGAAGGGGGGAGGGGGGTAGCTTCAAGCTGGGCCCCCCCTTCTAGTCTGTCGGGCCCCACGAGCGCGGTCTATCATACATTTAAGCATATATGTATGATGTATATGTGTACTTGTGTGCAGGTGTGTATATATGTATGTATGTACGTACGCACGTACGCGTGTAGGTCTGTATACATAGTGGTATGTATGAATGTCTGCCTGTATGTATGTATGTCTGTATGTATGTTTGTATGTAGGTATGCAGGTATGTAGGTAGGTATGAATGTATGTGTGAATGTATGTGTGTATGTGTGTATGTATGTATGTATGTATGTATGTATGTATGTATGTATGCATGCATGTATGTATGTATGTGTGCGTGCATGTGTGTATGCATGCATGTGTGCATGCATGCATGCATGCATGCATGCATGCATGCATGTATGTATGTGTGTGTGTGTTTGTGTGTGCGGTTGTATGGTTGTATGCATGTACGCGCGCGTGTGTGTATGGGTGTATGTATGTGTATGTATATATGTACATTTATATGTATGTGTGCATGTGTGTATGTACGTGTATATGTATGTGCATGTGCATGTGTATGTATATGTGCATGTGCATGTGTATGTGCATGTGCCAATATGCCTATGGATGTGTATGTATGTATGTCTGTCTGTCGGTCGGCCTGTCTGTCTGTCCGTGTGCCTGCCTATACGTATGTTCGTGTGTCTATATGTATGGATGGATGTACGTATGCACGTAAGTATGTAAACATGTATGTATGTGTGTAGATGTAACGAAACACTTCCCCCTCACGAATCGCTTTAGACTTACGGAGCATCATAATTACAGCCTTCTTGCGGAGCGTGTCCGTGCGAAAGGCCTCGCAATCTCTTCGGAGGGCTTGGGCCCCTCCGACTCCCCGTCCAAGAACGGAGACCCATCCATTTTCCCCGTAGGAGCTGTGGGCGGAGTGTTCTCCGCTGGGGTAATGGAAGGCAAAGGTTAGACGTCCCTAGGTAGGTGCTGGAAACGATCGCGATCCAATGACAAAGCGTCGTCTCGGATCCGTGGACGCGAGTCCATGTCCTTACACAGGCGGGCATTTCCAACTGGGGTGCTCTTCCTCACGCTTTTAGCCCATGCAGCTGGTGAGACTATTGGGAGAAAAGGAGATGGAGGGTGAAAAGGCATAGAAGGAGCATCTACGGTTGAGTTCCCCATCCCAAGCCTCTGGAGGTTGCTGGGTGCGGCGTGTCCATTGAGAGCGCTGCCGCTGATCACACGGGGTGGGGGTGGGGGATCTTCCCCCAACTCCAGGCGGAACAAGATGGGGGCTGCTGAAATCGTCAGGCGGCGGGGAAACTGGCCTGGGAAAAGAAATCGGGTAGATGCGTCCCGGGCGGAGGTGAGGAAATGCGGGGAAGGACCTGATTGCACGAGGGGTCTTAGGCATTGCCCCGAGCTCGGCAGAGGAGGAGGCTCTCTGGGCGACCATCTTGGGGGGGGAGCTGCAGCCTGGGCCGGGGAGGTCGAGGGGGGGCCTGGCGCGGCTGCTGCTTCGGCTCGACCTTGACCCATGGCCGTCTCCGAAAGAAAGCCTCCTGCTTGGGCTCGGCAGCGGCCAGTACTCTGAGAGTTCCAGAGAGGAGGTGGTTTTCAACATGCGTTTCTCCCTTTTTCGACGCGCGCATTCGTTCGCAAAAACTGCAAGAGCTTCCCGGATTGAGGACGGTTCCTTTTCGAACTGTGGCTCTCGTCTTAGCGCCGCGCGCATCCATGTTAAATAGGTGCAGTATGTTTACGGGTTGAGGGCGGCTCCTTTTCAAAATGTGGCTCTCGCCTTAGCGCCGCGCGCATTCTTGTCAAATATGTGCACGAGATCTGCGGACTCTCACAATGAACCTTCCAGAAATGGTGTTTCCGAACGATTCAAGACTGGAAGGGCGCAGCAGTTACTCGGATTCGCGGTGTTGAAATCCCAGGAAAGGCGTTCTGGCATGATTCAGCGCCGTCAAGACGCAACAATCAGGTTGACTAAATGGTGCATTTCCCCCAGTTGATAGAATCCTTCTGTGGGGCTATGAAGTTGGAGCTTGGGGGGAGGGTGTATCCCAACATCGTTGATGAGTCCTGGGTTTGCACTGGTGTTCATCCTCCTCCTCCTCCTCCTCCTCCTCCTTCTCCTCCTCCTCTCGCTCGGGCCCCACCTCCTACTCCTCCTCTGATATGTACATGTATCACTACATATATACATAAATATACAAGACTGGATTGGCGCTTCGCGCCATGCACCTTGGTCCTTCGAATCGAGCATAAATGCCTGTTCGCCTCATCCATGTTGGCCTTGAAGTGCGGCAAGCTCATGTAGGATTGCGTTTGGAACTGAATTTTGAAGCGGCCCCTGCAACGTGGCGGCGAGAGAGCGGAGGCCCCGAAATAATAGAAAATCACAGGAAAACCTGAAGTGTCGAGCTGCGAACCGTGATCTGCGCCTTCCTCTCTCGACTCTTGCCCTGCGAACCTCGAGCCTCCATTGGTTTTTTTGGACGACTTCCATGGCCGTGTGGCGTATCTCGTGGGAGCTTTTTGGGGGCCTGTGGGGATCGCGTGGTACGCCTCTCGGGCTTTTCTGGGAAGCTGGTGTGAAGCCTCTTGGGAGTCGATTTGAAGCCTCATGGGGTCTTTTTGGGGCTCCTGGGGGCCGATTGGAGCCTCTCGGAGCCTCGTGGGGGTGTGTTGGGGCGCCTCTTGGGGTTTTCTTAGGCCTTCTTGGGGCTCTCGTGGACCGGAAAGCTAGATCTTGGGATGTTTGGTCGCCCGCTGGGCCTTTTTTGAAGCTTTATCGGGGCCTTGTTGCCCTCTTGGGCGCTTCTTGGGTCGTCTCGGTGCCCGCTTGGGCCGTGTTGGGGCTGTGTAGGGGGCCTCTTGGACCGTGTTGCGGCGGTCTTGGGAGCCTCTTGGGCCGTCTTGGAACGTCGGGAAGCCGAAAAGGCGAGAAAGCCAAAAACTTCGAAAAACACCATGGGGAATCAACAATTGTGGCCTCTTGGGGCCTCTTCGGAAGCGTCTTGGAAGGCCTTTTGGAGCGTCTTGTAGGCTCTGGGGCCGTTTTGTGAGCTTCCCGCTAGCCCTCTGCAGAGGCTTCGCAAGGACATTAGGGACGTCCAGAGATGCAGAAGGCCGGCCAGGGGCGTCCAGGAGGCCCGGAAGGCTCGGGGGACCCCCTTGCCAGGCGTCCAAGGGGCCCCAAAAGCGCCAGATTCCGGGGGTCCGATTTCCCGGGGGGGGGGGGGGAAGGGGGTTTTCCCACCCCCCCGGATTGTAAAAATATAGAAAGGGGAATATACCCGCTCTTTCCATTCGATACCGCGCCAGAGAGAGCCCCACATCGGGCTCGAGGACTGAGGAACCCACAATCGCCGGAGGCAAAGGTCTTGCCGCGGCCAAGGGTCGAGCGCCACACAGTTGGCTGGCCCAGCGCAGCGTGTGCGGGGACCCGAAGCCGTCCCGTCTACGCCCTACGCACACCGGACCAGCCCCCCGCGAGGTGCAGACCGCTTGAAGGCCCATGACAGATCACCCAAGAGGGCGGCAGAGGGTGGGGAGCAAAAAAGATGGACTACATATCATATCAAATCATCTGAATGTGGACCACGGCGCTCTCTCTACATTCCAGTTGATTATCCCGCAAACTCAAGAACACCCACTCTTTCCATTCGATACCGCGCCAGAGAGAGCCCAACATCGGGCTCGAGAACTGAGAAACCCCAAATCGCTGGAGGTAAAAGTGTTGCCGTGGCCAAGGGTCGAGCGCCACGCGGTTGGTTGGTCCAGCGCAGCGTGTACGTGGACCCGAAGTCGTCCCGCCTGCGCCGACCAGACCAGCCTCCCGCGAAGTGCAGCCCGCTTAAAGGCCCACGAAATCACCCAACCCGGCACCAGTGGAGCGTTCTAGCCGCAGGCCTATACAATATCCGAACCTTCGGTGCACTTCGAGCGAGAGACGACGAGAGAAGCCACGGCCCGCGTGCAGGCTCGCGGGTAAGGCTGGGCTCGAAGGGTCCAAAACGCTCCTGTAGAGTCCTTACCTCGACGCTCGATGTGCGCTTGATGTGCACTTTGCCACTTAGACGCTGTCGTGCCCCTACCTCGCGCAAGTCAGGCCGACCTGCGCGAGGTAGGGGCACGACAGGAGGAACAGTCGGGTAGGTTTGACCCACGGCGCCCCAAACTGACAAAACATTGGAATCCGTGAACCCGGTAGCGTTCTGAGCCCGGAAGTTCTGGGCCGAGGTCATCTCCCACAAGAAACTTGAGCTGGGGTTCTCTAAAACTGCTGGAACCCCATGCGCAGCAGCGCACTGGAGAAGCGAAAGAGAGGCGGCCAACATAAGATTACCGTCAGTGGCTTTATCACCGTCAGCGAAGCTGAGGCCAGGGCGCCCGTTCAAGTGAGCGAAACTTCTCAAAGGCCCAGGCCCCCTGCCGTCGTGCTTCCTCGCTCGGGAGAACGAAAAGCAAGGCGCCCCGAGCCAAAGAAACAAACGGCGGCCAGAGGCGATGTGAGACGCGATGGACAGAAGAACGGCCTCATTCAAAAACATCGCCTGCTGGGCCGTGCTCTATGTCCCACGCGAGGCCAGGCACTCCTAGCTCGGCGAACGCTGCCGACAGTCGGCCACTGCCTGAGAACACCTCTATCACGAGCGTGCCAGCGACAGATGGCGGCAGGCTCCTCGCGGCTGCAGCGCTGGCCGCCACTCGCCTCGAAGGACGCGAGCGATGGAGGCCTCCGCCCCCTAGCGCCAGCTGTCGCCCTCGGGCGGGGGCGCCTCGTGCAGAAGCTGCGCGCGGCCGGCCTTCATGTAGCAGAGCGGCGAGCGGACGTTGGCCCCCCTGGCTCTTTGCGCGAACGCCAGAGTCTCCCTGGCCTCCTTCGGGAGGCCCCCCGACGCCCCGCCGCGTCGCAGCTGGCTCATCACCAGTCTGAGCGAGCCCAGGCCCCCGGCGCGGCAGGCTGCTGGAGGCGGCGCTCGCGCAGGAGGAGCAGCAGGCTCCAGCGCGCGAGCGCCCGCCCCGCGTTCTTCGCGAGTTCCAGGAAACCCCCCTCCACGATCGAGATCAAATTGGGCGGCCTCAGGTGGCGGCAGAACATCAGGGCGAGCACCAGCGCCTCCCCGCGCTGGCCGCGGGCGCAGAGCACGCTGAGGATGCCCGCCGACGGCCCGAGCGACCTGACTGGTCCTTCTCGGCCCCGGGCCCTGAGGGCGCGGCGGGGGCGAGGCAGGCTGGGCTTCCCGAGCCGCTGGATGTCGTGGTCCTCTGATGCCGCCAGCAGCTTGGCCCCCGAGTTCACCAGCACGCCGGCGAGGAAAAAGAGGTCGGCGTAGCCGCACCGCGAGTCGCCGCAGAGCTTCAGGTTGCCCAAGGAGAGAACGTGGCTTCGCCCGAACTTCCAGAACTTGCCGAGCCGCCGAGAGCGGCCCCTCCTGACCGGCTCCGACGGGCGCGCGTGCTGCAGGAGAGTCCTCTCCCCCTTCAGCACCATCAGGGCAGGGGCCTGGCCGTCGCCCGCGCGGGCCCTTCCGAGGGCTCTCTGCCTCGCCCAGGCCGCGCGCCGATCGGACCCTCTCGTCTTCTCGGCGAGGGTCGCACTCAGCGGGTCGGCAGGTCTCGAAGGGGCTGGCGCGCGGGCTCGGCCCTTGGCTCGCGCCACAGGCTGCGGGGCGCCTTTCGAAGTGAAAGAAGCCTACCGAGCCTTCACCGCCGCGCCCTTCGTCACGGCGGAGGCGCCCCGATGGCACTGGCGGGCTACCAAGGCCACTCGAGCCGGAGGAGGAGGGGAATGAGCAACGAGAAACGGAGGAGGGGCGCCGATAATGGCGCGATTTGAAAGAAGAGGGGGGGAAAAGAGGGGGGGTGGGAAGAGGGGGTGGGAGGGGCGACGAGCGATGAGAAGGGCGAAACACAAGCACGAATGGGGAACGTGTATGAAGCGCAGGCAGTGGGAGGGGCACGTGGAGGGATAGGAGGGGGAGGCGGAGGAACATAAGGAGGAGGAAGAGGAGGAGGAGGAGGAGGAGGAGAAATGGGCAGTAGTAGCGAAGAGAAATCAGCCGGCCCCCTTGCGGGGCCACCAGGCTGCGAGGGCGAGGATTGCAGCTCCCTGTGCCAGCGGCAGCTTCCAGTTTCCACGATTACAATATAACCCTCGGCTTACTATTGATTGTTGCTGAACGCGCGAGGGGCGGGGGCCCAAGCCCAGTTTTCTTTTCCGCGCCCAGATCGTTTTTGTTTTGTTTGTTTTTTTTGTTTGGGGCTTCCCACGCGCGCAAGCTCTGGGCGAGCTCCCGCGAACGGCGCTCGAGGCAATCGCACCGCCGCCCCCGCGCTCCCTGTCGGGGTGCCCACTGTGCACGGCGCGAAGCGCGCATATTATTCAGGCGGAGCAATCACAGTGCAACGCACAGCGCAACATATAAATTCACGCACAGGCAGGCCAGGCAGCCTCAATCGTCCAGGCTCCTGTTGCCCTTCGGGTGACGGCTTCGGAGGGCGAGACCCGCTGCCCAGCGCCGCTTCCTGTCCGCCTTGCTGGGGCGGGCGGGTCAGCCCAAGCACGCCCTGGCCAGGCCCTCCGTCCGCCTCCTGGCGTGAGCCCCGCATGGTGTGCAAACGGCGCACCCGTGCACCTCGCGGACAGCGCGGAGCTTCTCGCCCGCGCCGAGGGCGCTAGCTTTGGCCGCGCGGTGCGGCAGCGCCGCCGGCTTGGCTTCCAGGGCGCGCCAGCCTGTCTCGGCGGCGGCCGCTGCCCCCACTCGCCGCGCAGGCGTCTCCTCGGCCACTCTGGAACAGGCCCCGCCGTCTTCAGGGTCGGCCTGGCCCGGGGCAAGCGCCTCGACATGGGGCGCCTCTTCGAAGCTCCTCCTCTGTCTCCTGCCGCCCTGCTTTCTCGCGCCGGGCCCGTGGCCGCACGGAGCAGGTGCGCGATCTTCTTGCTGTCGCCCCTCGCCGCGGCTGCTGCCCCAGAACCGCGCGAGGGCCCTGCGAGCGCCGCCCTCGCGTCGGCCCTCGCTGCCCTTCGCTCGTCGCCGCTGCAGCCCGCCGTCAGGCTGGCCACCCGGCCCCGCCCAGGCCGCCTGGCGCCCGAGGGTCGCGATCTCTCTGGGGTCAGCCGCGGGCGCGCCCACTCTCCTCCTCGGCTCGGGCACGCGCGGGCTTGCCAACAAGCTCCAGCGCGCCGAAACAGCGACGGCCTGCCGCGTGCAAGCCCTGCAGCACATGCCCCTGCCGTCATCCTCGAGGTCGTGCTGGGCCAGATCGAGGGGGCGACTGTTGGCGCGCACCTTCCTGGGAAGCGGCCTCTCTGCCGGCGTCGGCTGCATGTCGTTCCACTCGTCGACCCGTTCGCGCCACCGGCCTATGTTGTGGGGCGCCCGCGCCACCTTCTGACCGGCCTCCTTGATCGCTTGGTCCTGGCCGAAGCCTGCGTCGAGCTCTGCGGCCTGCTTCGCCAAGCGGTCAACCTCCTGGTTCCGAAGGGCCACCCTCCTCTCGGGGCCCTCCAGGGTCGCCATCACCGCGCGGCTGCGGCGCGCATTGCAATGCTTCACCGCATCCACGGGCACGTCGCGATCTTCGACGCAAAACCAAATCTGCCTCCAGACGTCGGCGCGCGCTTGCCGCTGCAGCACCACGCCTGGCCACGGTGCTGCCCCGACACGATGGCCAGGTGATCCGTATAGATCATGCACGGCTCGCTAGCGCCCATTGTCTCCGTTTTGATGTGCCTCAGCACCTGAAGGAAGCCCCAGAGCTCCGCGCGCTCGATGGTGCGTTGGGTCGGCAGGACGACGGGCAAGGGGCCCCGGGCCTGCACGGTGGCCCTGCCCCCGGCGTCGACCGCCATTGCCGCCCGGCCTGTCTCGGCGGTGGGCACCCCCCCCTTTAGCGAACCTCTCCTTAAGGTAAACGGCCTGGGACCGAAACCGACGGGCATGGACCCGCAAAAATGACGGCCGCGACGCCCTCTCGCGAACCGAAAACGGCTAATTCGCCAGTCGACGTGTCAGGATAAGAGGTCTGCGCGCCCACGACTGTCTGGGCCCGCAGCGAGCTGCCCAACTTCGAGCCGTCGCAGACAACCACGCCCTCGAACTCTGCTTCCAGGCTGCCTGGTCGGGCGTCGCCGCCGCCTCCGACCGTCGCAACCGCGCCAGCCCCTGCCGCAGCTTCTCCAGCAGTGAGCCGGCCCGCGGCCTGCGCTGTCCCAGACGCCCGAGCAGCGCCGCCCTGGACTCCGGCGAAGGGCTCCAGCGAGGGCGCCGGTGGGCCGGCCGGGCGGCCCAGTAACCAGAGGTACTTTGAAATTCCTCAAGTACCTCTGGATTCGGCGCCCCGCTGGCCGCCAGCAAGGGGGAGCTGGCGGCCCTCCAGGCAGCCCTGGGAGTTTCCGAAGCCGTCGCCGACTGGCTCCTCGCTGCTTGGCTGCTGCCGCTGCCGCCGCCCTCTGGCTCGTCCTCGGGCGCGCTGAAACCGCTCCCGCCATCCTCTGCTGTCTGAAGCTCGTCCTCAGGCTCTCTGAACCCGCCTCCGAAGCCGAGGACGCCCTCCTCCTCGTCTGGCCAGGGGTCCTCGCCTCCACTAGCCTCTCTTACCTGCGCGTCGGCCTCCTCGGGCGCCGGCGGCGCCTGCCCGTCGGACGGGCGCGGGGGGTCGCCTGCTGCCTGCTGCGCGACGCGCCGCAGGACGCGCTCCTCCACGGGCTAGAAGGCCCAGTCGGATGCTGGGTGCCCGAGCACCCCCCTGATCAAACCAGGTTGTTCGGCTCCGCCTCCGCCGCGCGCCGCCGCTTCCGCGGGGCCTCGAAGCGACGCTGCCGGGGCCAGCTGCACTTGAAGTAACGGTGTTTGGCCGTGCCCCGCTCAAGGCCGCAGGCCTGGCGCGTCGGGTCCGAGGCCTTGCCTATCTTGTACCACTCGTCCTGCGCCCAGGGGCCGCGGACCACCGCCTGCCTCGCCGCTCTGGCTGCGCGCGGCCCCCAATCCCCCTCGAGCCCCCGCCTCAACTTGGCCGCGATCGGCGCGATCAACGGCCTAGGGGCGACGCTCTCCAGGTCATCCTCCTGGGTGCGAGCGGCCCGCGTCTCGTGCTCCAGGTCGAGCTTGGACATGGCCTGGGCGCCCATCGGGCACGCCTTGTCGAGGCGCAGGTCGAGGCGCGAGCGCGCGCGGATGACGCCCCAGGCTGGCCGGGTCCACCCCGCCCGCCTCATCGACATACTGCACTCCCCAGCGGACCCGCGGCTCTCTCTCCGCCCACCTGTCATGCTCACCTTGCGCTGCTGCCGGCGCCGCGCCTTGGACGAGCTCGTAGACTCGACGGTCGCCCCCCGAACGGCCGTTGCCCAGGCCGCGATCGGCGCCGCAGTCACCTCGCAGATCGGGTCGCCATGCCCCCCGTCCGAGGCCAGCGCCAGCGTCGGCGAGGCGCCTCCGACCTTGCCGCGGACCGCCCTGGCCGCCGACCTCCTGAGCTGCAGCAAATGGGTATCGGAAAGGCCCGGGCACTTGACGCCGCAGGTGCATGACGGCTTGAGGCCATTCGCCATGCGCCGGCCCTGCCGCCGCAGCCCCGCCAGCCGTGCGGCGCGGGCTCGCAGCGCCTCGACCCTCTGCTGCCGCTTGCGTTTGGCCGAACGGCGCGCCATCGGCATGTCGACCCCGAGGCGCACGCCCGTGGACTGCACCTTGATGCCGCGCCTGTTTTCATAACTGGGCCCAGCGCCCCCCGCAACTTCGGGGCGCTAGCCAGCGCGCAACCCTCGTTGTTCTTGCCCGTGGAGAATTCCAGGTCCACCCGGCGGAATCCCTTCGCCGCGGCATCGACCACCTCCGCCGCGCCAGTCACTAGCTTGCCATGTGCCGCCCGCTGCTGGCCGCAAAGGTCGTCCACGTGCAACTTCCCATTGGCGTGGGGGTAGTGCAACACCAACTGGCCCATGCCACGCATCAGCGGCATGCGCAGCAACGCTGCCGAGAACTTGCTGCCCGCCACAATGGCCGCCCGGGCGGTCACCTCCTCTGAGAAGCACCCCTCGACAATCGAGGTTCGCGCCATGGCGAAGATAAACACCACGACCGCCAAGATGGCAGTCGGGGAGCCCCAGAGCAGGCCAGCCTGCCACATCTTCACCAAGGGGACCTTCTCGAAGGCCTTGGCCAAGTCCATGATAACCGCGGTCAACGCCCCGTCGCCCCAGCCGCCCGCCGCGGGGTCGGCCGCCTCGCGGGCCGCGAGGACTTCCCGCGCAGCTGCCTCTGCTCCTCCCCCGCCCATAGTGCGGCCCCAGTCTCCGGGGTTTTCCTGGCCCCACCTCTGGAGGCATGGGGGCCCGCGACCTCTCCCAGCTGCGCGACAGAGTGGAAAGCAAACCGATCGCCCTGTCCTTGGCGGCCGACTTCGGGATGAAGAAGACCGCGATGCGCCCCGCCTGCCTCGGCCGCGCAAGCGCGCGCTCGACCCCCGAAATTACGTCGGCGATCGCCTGGGCGCCCGCGTCGGAAATGCCGTCGAGGATGGACGGATGCCAGCGGTCGGCGCCGATGCCCGCGCGCTGCCTTCACCGCTCGGCCATGTCCCGCATCCGCCACCTCGATCGGCGGGAACTGTTCCCGTGCTGCCGGGTGCCGCGGCCTCTCCTCCTGCTGCGCTGTCTGGCCGACCTGCCACGCCTTGGCCCGCGTCGCCAAGGTCGCCGCTGCCGCCCGTTCTGGGGCGGCCGACACCTCAGGCTCCGCGGCGCGCCTGGGCTGCCAGAGCGAGGCTGGCTTGTAGAAGCAGTGCAGCCCGCCGGCGGCTCCGCTAGCGGCGTTGGCCAGCTTGTCCTTCCACGCTAGCTAGCGCTGGACGCGGATCTGCTTCTCGGCCTCGCCCGCGCGCGCTCTGGCATCCGCGGCCCGCTCCGACAACGTCGTCTCCTCGCCCTGCAGCTCGTCGCACGGTGCGCCTAGCCGAGATGGCACTCCAACCGCTCGGTAAGCTGCCACCGCGGCAGGACGCAGACGCCCTTCGCCCAAGGCTCGCATGCGGCCCCGCCTCGTCTCCTCCAGGATGCCCAGCCCCCCTAAGCGCCTCCTCGCCTTCTCGGAAAGGAGCCGCTCCAGCTCCCAGCGCCCGTGCTGCGGCCCCCCTTTGGCATGGCACGCGCGGAGGGTCTCCAGGGCGCGGTCCACCCAGCGCCAATGCCGCCCCGAGGCCTGCGCGGGGGCGCTGTTGGCACGGCGACGCGCTGGCGCCTAGAGTTGGGGGGGTGTTTCCTCCCAACCTCTGGTGCGTGCGGCGACCACTCCACGCCGCGCAGGCCGCAGGCCTCCTGCTCCATTCGGGACATGACCTCCTCCCAGGCCTTGGTGGCCACCTGGTCGTTTGCGAATGTAGGGCACGGCAGGCATCTCGGCGCCTCCGCTTGGCATCCTACGATGCGCCGGGGCAACGGCCTCAGGCGCTGCAGACTCCGCCCCCGTCATTCAATGGGCTCCATGCTCACCCGCAGGCCGACTGGCTTGTGCGGCGCGGCGGGCCACTCCTCGTCAACCCAGACGCCGTCGAGCGTCTTCTCGAGCGCGGGGTCCACCGAGATGTAATCAATGGTGCGCCCACCAGAGCCGCTCCTGCATGTCCCCAAAGACGTCGACGGGTAGGCGATAATCGCTTCCGAAAGCTGCATGCTCGGGCTGCGCTGGAATTCCTGCGGCGTCAGCTGGAAGTCTCCGCCGACTACACATGGGAACCCCGTTATGCGTAACCTCCCCAGGGCGTGGCCCAGCAAATGCTCGTTGCGATCGCTCAAGCCCTCGCCTGTCCAAAAGTAGAAGCTGGCCACGATGAGCCCTCGGCCCATGGCCGCGACTGCCTGGCGGGGAAATGTCCCACGAGACCGCCCCCGCAGGGCACGCGATGCCGATGTGCATGGGCACCGCGACCGCCACTCCTGCCGAGGTGCCCAAATCCTGGCCCCCGTCAGTCGTGACCACGCGGCCAACCTCCAGCGCGTCTTCTGGAGGGACGCCTGAACCAGGGGGAGCGCCTCCGTACGCAGCTTGGTCTCCTGCAGCGCGTAGCAGCACCGCCTCGCTGGCTCGGTGGGTGCCCCATCCCGAGCCGTTGAAGGTCCAGATCTCGATCGAACCTTTCTGGGCCTGCCTGCTCTGGCCTCGCCGCCACAGCAGCGGCCTCAAAGCTGGATCCTGCAGCACCGCCGCGAAGCCTGCCCACCGCCTCTGGCCGGGCGTTTCCACTGTGCCTCGAAGCGCGCCCGCCGCCTCATATGCTGACATGCCCGCAACCTCAGCCGCCCCCTCGGCCGCACGCGTCCCTCCTCCTCCTGGGTTCGGCCCAGCTCCTGGCCAACCTGGGCGCAGGCCATGCTCCTGCATGTACTGGGCGACACCGTTCCTCAACAGCGACTCTCCGAAGCCCAGCTCGTGGCCATTCAAAATCAAATACAGGAAAACGTCACCCTCGCCGCGCCCTCTTGATGAGTCGGTCGCAGGCGGCCTGCTGAGCTTCGACCCAACGCTGGTGCTTCTAGGGCTGGGTGACGGGGTCGGGAAGCTTGTCCTCGGCCATACCGCCTCGGAGCCACTCCAGCTCCTCCTCTGTGAGTTCTGGGAGCTCGTCGTCCACTGCCATCCCTTCTCCGGCGGGCTGGCCTCGATCAGCTGCGTCAGGCTCAGTAGCAAGAGCAGCGGCACTGGCTTGCCCCGCCACCCGCTTCTCCTCCACGGCGGCTGCCAGCTTGGTGAGACCCTCAGCGAGGCCGAGGTCAGCGAGGTTGGCTCCGACGTCGCGCGCCAGCTGCTCAAGGATGGCCCGGGCGGCATCCGCGTCGTTGGCCCTTGCATCGCGTTGTCTGAATTCCTGGGGGGGCGTGGGACACGTCAAAATACATGATATTCGCATCCCAAAAGCCATACTCCCGAGAAAATTACGCCATGCTCGCGTCCCCGAGGCCATAAGCCCGTTTAAAATATACCATATTCGCGTCCCCGAGGCCATAAACCATCGAACATATCGCAATGTTCGCGTCCCCGAGAATATAAGCCCTAGTGTAAATTACGCAGTATTCGCGCCCCCGAGATCATACACCCATTCAAATTACGGAATACTCGCGCACCCAAAGCCATAAACCTGTTGAAAAGTATGCAAGATTCGCACCCCCAGGGCCATCAACCATCCTAAATTACACCATGCTTGCGGCCCCGAAGCCATACACCCTCGCAGATTATACAATACTCGCGTCCCCGAGGCCATACCCTGGTAAAATCCGCCGACCCTGTCGGCGTGTGGAATGGGTTGTTCTTCTCGTCCGTGCCTCCTTCCCTTTCCCACCTTCTCCGTCTCCTTCTCGTTCGTCTCCCCCTCCTCCTCCTCCTCCTCCTCCTCCTCCTCCTCCTCCTCCTCCTCCTCCTCCTCCTCATCTCTTCCTCCTGCGTAAAGTAAATTGACTCGAGGGGTTTTCCCTTTCCCTTTGTTCCCTTCCCCGGCCGGGGGGGGGGGTCCCGGGGGAAGCCCGGGGGTGGTCGTGGGGGGGGTTCGGGGGGGGGGGTCCTGGGAGGGGTCCCGGGTCAGAATGCCACCACCTCCTCCTCCTCCTCCTCCTCCTCCTCCTCCTCCTCCTTCTCCTCCTCCTCCTCCTCCTCCTCCTCCTCCCCCTCCTCCTGAGCGTCTTCTGCCACCTTCTCCATCTCCTTTTCGTTTGTCTCCCCCATCCTCCTCCTCCTCCTCCTCCTCCTCTTCACACACTTCCTCCGCCTACCCTGTCACGTTGTCCTTTAGCTCCTTCCTGTGATCACACATCCTGTCGCCATCGACGGCCAAAACCTTCAGGGTCGTTGGCACCGGCCGTAAGGCCTTCACAATATAGAACTGTTGCGCCCTCGATGCCATCAGCCTTTGCCGATTACACCATAGTTGCGTCCCCGAACCCACACAAACTCTGGTAAATTACACCATACCCGCGCCCCAAAGCCATAAGCCATCGCAAATTATTAAATATTCGCGCCACCGAAACCATAAACCCTCGTACATTAATGTCGACCCTCGCGTGAAGTCCCGGCACTGCTTCATGCGAGCGTCCAGACATGCCAAAACAGCTCTGGCAAGTCCCATTCTAAGAGAGGGGGGCTGGCGGCATGGGGCAAAGCCATCACGAATAAGGATGTTGATGCTGCTGGTGATGATGTTGATGAGGGTGGGGGGAAGGGGGAAGATGGACGGGGAGGAAGAACATGAAGAGGGGATGGCGAGGAGGATTGGTGGAAGACGAGAGGGGGCAGGTTGACTGAGAAGGGTGATGCACAGACGTACTGTATTTACATGTGGTGGTGATGGAAAAGAGGGATACATCAAAATTCGATGTTTGTTCGTGGGGCACCTGCATTTCCTATATAAATGTATATGTATATGTATGTATATATATGTATACTTGTGGGAAACACACATGTATATGTATACATACACATGTATACAAGACTGCATTGGCGCTTCGCGCCATGTACCTTGGTCCTAGAAGGTTTGCATCTGTTGGTCGTTCGCACCATCCCTAGTGGCCTTGGAAAATTAGCCCTTTACCTGCGGTGGTTTGCAGCAGTCTTCGAACATTAGGTCGGTTCTTGGCCCGTCCTGGGCCTTTGGGGGTTCCCGAAAGACGCCGGGTGGAGGGCGAAAGATAAGAGGGAGGGAATCCCAGAGAGCGAGAACAGGAAACGGATTTGGAGGAGGACGAATGGTGGAGCGGCAGCAAGAGGAGGCGACGGCGGCGATACGGTGTCGGGCCGAAGGTCGATAAAACTCGACTTGAACCAACCATCCGATCTCATCTCGGGCAGTTGCGACCTACCGTGCGCGTCGAGGCGCGGACAGAGGATGGCCCCACAGCGGGAGCCCCAAGTGAACCTCGCTCTACCACAGCTTCGCAGAGCTCGGACCTGAATCAGGAAAACGAAACTAAACAACTCAACAGTCTCGCGGAGGCCAAGTGGAAAACAAATCATCGGGAAAGCGTGCTCAGCTCTACCACATCTTCACACAGCTCAGGAAACTAAACTAAATTGAGCAGCCTCACGGAGGCCAGGAGAAAACTATCTGGTGAGAAAGCTAGACAGTTCTTTGAAACTATACTGCGGACGCACAGGATGAGGAGGAGGAGGAGGAGGAGGAGGAGGAGGAGGAGGAGGAGGAGGAGGGCCCAAGGCGGCAGCGGCAGGCCGAGCCTTGAAATCGCGCTCCCCCCCAGGGCGTGCCGTCGAGGCGGGAGGTGCGGACGTCGATCTCGAAACCGAGGGTGTGGTGGCCGATCCACCCGAGGCAATCGAGGGCATCAACGTCACTGATCCACCCGCGGCAATCGAAGAGGGTACAATCACTGATCCACCCGTGGCAATCGAGCTTAATGCGGCCGAGCTCCTGAGACGCCCCCCCCCCCCCCTTTAACCCCTTGGGGGCCGTCGCGACCAGGACGGTGGAGGGGGTCTGCAGTTGCTCGGCCCGTCGACGACCCTGCAACTGATCCACCCGTGGAAATCGCCCCCCCTGCGGCGAAGCCCCTGAGACGCTCCCCTCCTTTAACTCCTTGGAGGCCGCCTCTCCCAGGGCGGTGGGAGGGGTCTGCAGTTGCTTGGCCTGTCGACGACCCTGCCATTGATCCACCCGTGGTGGCATCGGACCTCAGAGGCTGTCTTCGAACTCGTCCACGGCCAGCAGTAGGATCCGTTTCACATTGCTCCGCGGTGCCATGCCCTGTCGATGCCCGAACCCTATTTGGACGAGACAGCCCGAGAGAACCTTCATCATGGTCTGGTCCGAGAGGGCGACAACGAGTTTGCACTGCCCCAGCTTGAAAGCCGTGCTCACACTGAAACCTTTCACCAGCATCGCCATCTCCGCCATGTCCGTGATCGCGTCGATCTTCCCTTTTTGAGTCTCCCATGCTGATTTGTTCCTCGCGCCGACCCGATCGCCCTCTGGTGATCTGGTCGCACACCGCGAGGAATATCTGAACGCATGCAGGTCCCATCTTCGCCTCTGGAGTGGGGGCGCTGGGGTCGGCCTGATGAACAGCGCGAAGACGAGCCGCCTCCGTTGCGCGCGCCCGACCCGCTTGGAAACCGACCTTGATGACTGAGACCGAGTCTCCCGCCGTGAAAGTCTGAAACTCGGCCGCCATCAGCATCCGCAGCTGGAAGGTGTTGCCCACCACCGCCCCCATCAGCACAGGGAAGATCCGCGCCATCATCGGTGCATCCATCCGCGGGAGACGGTCGATCGTGTCGGGGGCCAGGCCGTAGATCTTCCCGATCTCGACGGCCTGCTGGGGGCTGCCCGCTGGTGGTGTAGCGCCGCCTGCTGTCGCGCCTGCGTCGCCCTGCCGCGGGGCCTGGCTGCGCCTCCGCGCGGCACCTCTCCCTCCACGAGCGCGGGAAACAGCTGCGGACCCACTGCGGTGCCTCTCGCTGCCTCTGCCGCGCCCGTCTCGCCCGTTCGAGCGAGAGCGCTCTGCCGCCTCCTCTATCTGCGTGGCGTTCAGCTTGAACATCGCGGAAGAGGGGTGCGGTCGCGTGTGTGGCTAGATGCACTGACAGGAGATCAAGGGAAGCTACAGTGCGATCCACTGAGCAACAATAAGCTGTATTATGACCTCCAAAGACAGATGCCATCGTGATACGCGACAGGGGGCACACCAACTCATCAGGCACACTGACGGGATGATGGAACACGGACTGACGAGGACATTTCCGACTAAGTACTGCCCGTAGGGTATGCTCCTGAGCAATTTGACGAGTCCTGAAAGTTTGACGGCAGTAGACGCACTGGTTCGTGATCGTAATAGTATGCGCAATCGATCGAATCGAGTGGCCTCCCTCCGTCGCACAAATTCGCTGAGCACCCCGCTCGCCCGTAGCTGGGTTGCGTCTGCAACCGCAGCGTTGGGTGTGCGCCGAAGCCTGCGCCGCGCCAAGAGGGCGCGGGCGCCGCGAGGCCTCGGCGCTGGTCGCAGCACGACCCAGCAACGGGCGAGAAACGGGGCGGGCACGGGTGGGTCAAATCCCGAGCGCGGGGCGCGCGCCCCAGGCACACGCAACCCTGTGGTACCTGCGCGCGGCCGCGGCGGGCAGCGGCCGCGCGCGGGGGCGCGCGGGCCTGCCCGCGTCGCCTGCGGTTCGCCGCGGCGCGCGCGAGCCAAGCGGCGGCGCGGCGACTGCTCGCGCCTGCGTCCGCCGCGCGCGCCTGGGGCCAGCGAGCGTGTGCGATGGAACCAGGGGCCGAACTAGTTCCATACGCACAATTCGCTGAACACCCCGCTCACCCGTAGCTGGGTTGCGTCTGCAACCACGGTGTTGGGTGCGCGCCGAAGCCTGCGCCGCGCCGAGAGGGCGCGGGCGCCACGAGGCCTCGGCGCTGGTCGCAGCACGACCCAATGCAACGATGCGACCAGCGCCGTGCGCCGCTCACCCGTTGCGCACGCGGAGCGCGGCGCTCGGGCGCGCGCCGGGATGTCGCAGCCACACTAGGTGTCTGAGCTGCTGTCAGAGCTGTCCGAGCAGTCGGACGCGGCGTTGCGCGCGGCCGCTACCCTCTCACTTTCGACCCGGACGCGGTCGATGTAAGCCAGGTAGGCGTTCGACGCCCAGCCTCCACGTTCCTTCGTTACTGCGGTCGGTGCACCCGCGCGATCGATGTCATCGGCGTGCCCCCTTGTGCGCGCGAGAGGGGCGGAGGGTGTGCGCGCCGAGCCGCGCGGGCGGTCGCGGGTCGCGACCTTCGTATGTCGCGGGTGCCGAATAGGTTGGCACTGTCCACGCCTTTCCTGGACAATAGGGACCGAAGGATACGCTGGGCATCCGACCCTGAGAACTGCGCGAACGGCTGAGTGCCTGCTGCTGTGCCGCGCAGCAACGGAGGCAGCGCGTGCACGGCGCACGTCGCGGCGTGCGCGCGGTACCAACACCTCCGGCGGAGCATCGACGCGCACGGCTTGTTCTTCCGCCTTGGCAGCCAGAGGAGTGCCTCGTCTGCCGATATGGCCAACTCCGCCTAGCGCGTTCGGCGCGTGCGCGGGTGCCCCAGCGCGCGCGCTTCCAGACGGCGCGGCCCGCCGTGCGGCCGCGCGACAGAATGTTGCCGCACCGCCGGATGGGTAAACACTCGGATGGTAGGCGAAGCAGGAATATGTACGAAAGCATGGTGGATGCCACCTGCGCGACCGCTGGGTTGACTGGCGAATGCCGCGCGGCGGCCCCGCCTTTTCTTCTTCGCTGCGACCATGTAGGCCAAGTAATTGCGCAATCATAGCGTCACGAACGAAGCGCGGTTCGCGTGGCGTGCGTCCGCCGCGCCGCACAATGGCTGCCTTGGCCTTCCTGGGCGCGCGACGCGCGGCCTCGCGCGCGCGGTGGCGCGGGGGGCCGACACCGGAGCAGCCGTCTGTTGCCGAAGGCGCTCATGTCCAAGCGTAGCACTTCGCACGCTGTCTGCACGCGCCCGCAATAATTCCGGAACGTGCCCGCGCAAGAGAAAGTGCCCGACCAGCGCAACAGATCGTCCTGGGCGCACGCCGCAGATTATAAGAGTCTGCGGGCCGCGCAGGAGGGGTTGCGCGGATTGGTCGCGCCTCGCTGGGCGGCAGCGCGAGATGCCGGTCACGTCCGAGTACGTCTATCGGAAGCCGGGCAAGGGCTGCTAAATCCGTGGCTGCTAAAATCGACCTCCGGGAAGTTGTCTTCGTCCTTCCGGGAAGAAGCCCGTTGACTGTTTCGCGTGCTGCGCCTCATTCCGGGAAGCTGTTTTTTCCTTCCGGGAGGGCCGTTTTAGCAGCCACGGTTTTAGCAGCCCTCGCGCACTGCTTGAGTCTATCGCGCCAGCACCGCACACCGCTCTTCAAAGATTTGCGGGTGGATGGTATAGTGCTGACCAGGACCTCCAATCGGGCCCGTTCCGCCCAGTCGCGCCGCTCCCCCTGCGAGGGCATGGGGCGCGCAAGCCGCTGCGCGTTGCGACGCGGCCCCCCTGGTACGGGTGGCGAGGGCGGTCCTGGCCGCGCCATCGCCCTTTCGAATGCAGGCGCTATCGCTGTCAGGCGCTCTGGAGAACGGCTCCGCGCATCCCCGCTACGCGCGGAAGAGGGCCCCGCGGTGCGCAGGCGATCGAGCTCCGACAGGAGGGGTGCTGGCAGGACATGCAGGTCCGCGATGCACCTCAGCTGCGCCCCGACGAGATCCTGGTGGGTCTCGAACCCTTGCTCCGCCAGTACGCTGGCCGCACGCGCGATAACGGGGGCACCCCCTGCGCGCCGGCGGGCGCGCGCGCGCACGCCGCGGGCGCGCCAGCCGAGCAACCTTTTATTCCGCACTGGTGTTAATCGCGGGCGAGGCGAACCGATGCGACACTGCCTGTGCGGCGAAGACGCGGACCCGCGCCCGCGCGCGCCGCTCGCCTAGAAAACGCTCCACGCTTCTTGATATGCCGGTCACCGCGTCGCGCCCAGGGGGCGGCCCCGGGGGCGGTCGGGCCAGCGCGGCCACCCGCGCGAGTCGACAGCATTCTTCGCTCGTGCCAGCCCGATCGCACCGGCCGGCGGTTTCGCCGCCGCGCCCCTGCAGCTGCATGAGAGAACAGCAGCCATGCCGAACGCATAGAGCCGCGGCCTCGGCCGCCGCCGCATCGCTGAAACGCCCTGGGAAACTACGGCGAAAGTCGCGGGCGAGCTCGTTCTTGCGCAATGCCGGCTAGCGTGGCAGCCGGCTCCGCTTGCGCGCGCGCGCGCCACGCGGTGCGCGCGCGCGGGGCAGTCTTACTAACATGCAGCACTCGCGGGCGGTGGCCCACCGCGGAAGGCCTCCGCGAGTTGTGCACGGACCCTCTTTCCCCCAGACGCGGAAGCAAATCCCGCTCCTCGCGGCTGGGAAGGTCGGCTAGGTTCCTTGCCGACTCCACGCGCACGCGTGGACCTGCCGCGGTGGCGCGACCGCGCGCGCGTGTCTGGCGGCGCGCGGTTGCCGCGCTGCCTGGAGCGCCACTGCCGCCGACCAGAATTGGTGCACGAGAAAATTGTGGTCGCGTGACTTTGCGGCGCCCTTGCTGAAAGTGCACTCAGCGACGCTGTTGTCTGAGAAGAAGACCACGCGGCGGCCGGCGAGCGCGCGTGCCCGCGTGGACAGAGCCACGCACTGCGCCAGCATCTCGAGCGCCGCGATCTGCTGATCATTGCGGGCGCGTAATCCGCTGCATCAATCGCGCAACGCCCGACGCGCGCGCGCGCCGCGGACCGTCGCGCTGAGACCAGAGAAATTCTTCTGGCGGGGCCATGTCGGCCCACTCGAACGTGTCTTCTGTGAGTAAAATTGCGGCGAGTCGCGCCGGGCAGCCGCGGGCGTCCGCCAGCGCGAGACCCGGCGGGCGCGCGTCGCGGCATCGCCAGGGCCGCGCGCGGGCGATGTCCCGTGCCAGTACGTCTCGCCACCAACGCAGCGCGTCGCTCGCGTGTCCCGCGAGACGGGGCAGGGAACCGCATGCCTGGTCGAATCGAGCGGTCGCGCCACGCCTCGTGAGACGCCTGACCTCGGCGCCGTCGATGACGGCAATCCACTGCTTTACTTTATCGTCGTCGGGCTTGACGTGGAAGCCCGATGCCGACGACCGGACGCGCAGCCCCAGGATCACGATCAACGGGCCCTACGCCATTTTTCGGTCCTGCATGGCGCTGGGCCCGAGGAGAGCGCGCACCAGCCTCGCAAAGCACTTGTCGGCGAGCTCCGCGAGGCCCTTCCTCTCAACCGAGAAGAACAACGCCGGGAGCCACGGCAGCTTGCGCGCCGCGGCCGCCAGGAAGGCGCCCGCGCGCTCCCATCCGTGCACGCAGGCCAGGCCCCCGAAAGGCAGCGCGATGTGCTGGGCGGCCATGACACGCCCGCGCAGGCGGTAGGTTACCCATGCGACCGCGCGGTGCCTAGGCAGGACCGGCGCGCGCCTGAAGGCGGAGTCCACGTCCGCCTTCCAAAATTCGAGCTCAATCGAAATCTGCGCGCGCACGGGATTGACGCGCCGCTGCAGGCTGGATTGCGCGCGGCGCACCTACTCGTGAAAGGCACTTGCCAGTGCAACCAACTGGTCTATCGTGTCGTGGCGCCATTTTTCCTCCACGCTGGTAGCGCCGTTGACCCTCGCGCGAGAATAGTCGTCGACGCATCGCACCTGCGCTGCGGCGCGCGGGCGCGGCCGACGCCAGGCCGCGCGGCGCGCAAGCCTTTGGGGGGCCGTCTGGCTTGTCCCCCTGCACTACTGAGAAGCGAGGTGCCAAAATCTTATCGTGCAGTGCCAAATCGTCGACCGGCACTGGCGATGTCATTCGCCCGAGTGCGGCGTCCGCCACTGCCCCAGCATGCAATTCGGCAGCGTGAGCGTCGTCGCGGAGACTAGCAATGATCGCCGCATTCTGCGCTTCCGCGCGGCCCAGTAGATCGCTGACGGGCTCGCGCTCTTCGCGGGCCACGCGACGCTCGGCGACGCCGGAGGCTGGCAGCGCGCCCACGAACGGCGCCCCTTCGCGGAATAGGCGCTCAACGTCGTCGGCCCAAGCGATCTCGGTCGCGATGGCGCCTAGGGTCGGGCCGTCGACCTCGGAGACTGCGGTTCTGGCCGCCGCGTCCACGCCGCCCAGCCAGGCCCGCTGGGCCCCCGAACGTCTCGACTCGCGGCAGCGCGCCTCTATGGCTGTAATCGCGGCCTCCCTTTCGCTGAAGATCAGCCGCGCGGCGCGCGCGGGGTGGCGCGCGCGAGTTGCGACTGTCGCGCCTGCTGGCAACTGCGCGACTTTGCCCAGTCGACGCAGGCGCGGAGATCGTCGTGCAGGGGCGCGGCGTCTTGACACCACGCCGTGCCCTTCGACGCGGCATTAATGACAAAGTCGATCTTTGCCTTTCCCCCTGCGACGCTGCGGCGCTGGCGCGCGGAAGGCGCGGGGCATCGCGGCCGCGCTCCCCGCCTCGGCGCTGGACGCCACTTCTTCAAAACGCGGGAGCCACGAGCCCGCCGCGGCACTGCTTGCAGCGTTCCGCCCGTCAGGTACAGGCGCGCTCCCGTCTTCCGACGGGCACATTGCCCCAGAGGCCGTCACTGGCGCCCGCGCCTGCCGGCCGACGGCCCCCAAGGGTTCGGGGCGCCCGCGCGCGACGGAGGCGCGCCGCGCCTGTGATGCAGAGAGAGACCTGCCATCTGGCAAATTCGGCGCGGGTATGCCCGCGCCCTCGCGCTCCGCCAAACCTGGGCGCGCTTGCCGCGCGCGAGCGCGCGCTGCCGGCCGCGCGACGGTGCTCGCGCCTCAATCCTCGCGCTTGCGCTTCGGCGTGCGCGACTGCTCTGTGCCCCGCGCTGCGTCGCGCTTGCCTTTGGCCTTCGCGTGGGCCCGCGATTCCCAGGACTTGCCCCAGCTCTTGGGCTCCCAGGACTTGCCCCAGCCCTTGTCGCTCTCGGCATGCTGGGACTTGCCCTTGCTTTTCCCCTTGGACTCCGCATGGGGGGCGCCCTTGCTGCTGCCCTTCTGCTGCCGATCGGAGAGGTTGGGATGCCCGCGAGCCGTGCACTCGCGCTCGGCGCGCATGTACAGGCTCTGCTCTTGCTGCAGCGCGTCGCGGTTGACGTTAGAGGAGCTGGAGCCACTGGCGCGATCGGCCCACTCCCGCCTGGCCAGCTCGTCATAGATGACCGCCAGGGCTGTGGACTTGTGCACCCCGCGCGCCTGCCCGCAACGCGCGCGGGCGGCGGCCGGCCTCGGCCGCGAGACCAGGGAAGGGAGTTCGCCTGCAGTGCGATCTGCACGACGACGTCCTTGTGCGCCATCGCGGCGGCCAGTTCAATCTGGCCCGCGAAGCTCGCGGCCAGGGCGCCGGTCGAATGCGACCGACCAGGGCATGAGCGACAGCCCTCGCGAGGCGGCGGCTCCGCCCAGAATGCGCGCGCCGAAAGGGCGCGCCTTCTTTGTTCGCGTCCGCGCAGTCCTGGCCGCCGCGCTTCTCCACCGCCCAGTGTGGCAGCCACTTCTTCAAATCGCTGTAAATGAACGGTCTCGCGATCCCCTTCGCTTGGGCCGCTTTGACCTGCGCCGCTCCGAAGCGCCGCGTGCGAACGCTGAGCGATGCACCGCGCGCGCGTGGGCGCCTGGCTGTCGAGCCAGTCGCACGACGCCAGAGACGGCCAGCAAGCAGACGGCAAATCGCTGAGGCGGATGTCGCCCAGCTTCGCGCCGATGTCGACGTGCGCGGCCGCAGTCGGCTTGCGCGCGAGTGCGTCCACTAGCGCAGCGACAAGGTCATTCGACCCCCGCGCCGCCCCGTCGTCGCCGCGGGCGGCGGCCATGCGCCCCGCCTCGGCCCTGGCGGCGTTCTCTGCGGCACGCTTGACGGCGCGGTCGAGGAAGGCTACCTTCCCACCGTTGAGGCCGCCCTTGTCGAACGAACTCTCATGCATGTTGAGCCCGACTAGGTCTTGTTCAACCTGGCGCGCGCTGTGCGCGACAGACGGACCGAGAAAGCGCGTGGCGCTCGCCGTGACAGAATTCGCGCGAAGTGCTGCAATGACGTCGCGGAGGCATTCCTCGTCGCGCTTTGCGGGCGCGTCGACGCCAGACAGAAAAGCTTGCAAATCCGCCATGCGCGCGAGCGGGCGCCGCCTGTTAACGCGTATGACGCGCTCGCGCGCACTCTGTCCGCGCTCGGCTGCAGCTCGCGCACCGAGGCCGACCGCGTACACGCGGGCCTCGCTTGGCCACCTAAATGACGCACGCTAAGCGTGCACGGAGGGGGCGTAGACGTCGAATCGCGCCGGAACAGCCCCCGCTCGCAAGTGCGCTCGCGCGCCAAACGTGCGGCGTAGACGTCGGATTGCGTCTTAAGCTGACCTCGTTCGGTCGGTCGCTCGCTATCCTCGT